CACCGCACCCGGCCGCAGGGTTTTTAAGGCCTTTATGGGCCCAAGTTACAGTATAAAATGTTATATCCCAGATTCGCTGGAATATGTACGACAGCAGGTGGCATTAGTATTTTGCAGTTATGAACTAATTGGTAAAAACCGTTTTGTTTACATTAGGAGTTCAAAAGCCAGCGACACAGCGATGATGTTTCCATTTAGCAGATGTGGATACTGAGGCACAGAAAACGGTCAAGACTTCGGCCTACAGTCACCAGAAAGGAGGAAATTCAAATCTGGGGTTGCGTGGCTTCAGAGCCCAAGTTCAACCATGACGAGCACACGGAAAAGGAAACCCCTCCTAACCCCTGCTCCGGGGTCCTTTAAGAGCCTCGGAACCCAAACAGTAAAACAAGATCAAGGCGTATGTAAATACGGCCAGCGGCTGCCGGGAAATAATCGCTGCCGCGAGTCCCTAGGGAGAGCAGGCGTCGGAGTCCAAGTGCGCCTGCGCAGCCCCCATCTCGCCTTCCGCCTCATGCCTTAGCGAGGCCCATCTCTAACCCACACTGGCCCAAAGTTGTCTAATGTGCGCAGGCGTCCTGCTGTGAACCTGCCTCCTTCCCTGCTCTGCGCTTGCGCTCTCGCTCTCTCTGAGTCCGTCTCCGGTGCTTTGTGCGTCACTTCCTGTTTGTGGCGCGAAAGGGCGGTATTTCCGTCCAGAGGGTGGGAGGGGGCGGTAAGCGGGGGCTGGGGGGAGGGGGCGGGGGGGTAGCGCCGCGCGATCTGTTGGACCTGGCTCGGAGGAGGCGTCGCCGCCGCCTCTGCCTTCGTAGCCGCCGCCGGGAAACACAAGGAACGGGAACCAGCGCAGCGTGGCGATGGGCGGGGGTAGAGCCCCGCCGGAGAGGCTGGGCGGCCGCCGGTGACAGGTGAGTGCGCCAGCGCGTGTCCCGGAGCTCTCCCCCCTCCGCGATGGTCGCGTCCGGGCCCCCCGCGGTGCCGCGATGGGCTGTACCACCGTGCCCGCCGGGGGAACCGCGGCCCTCGAGCCCCCCCTTCCGGAGCTGAGTTGGGGTGGCCGAGCCGGGGCGGTGGGACTAGCCCGGGGGGAACGGAGGCGGTGGCGGCGGCGGCGGACCGCACCACTGAGGCGGCGGGGGGAGCGCCGCGAGTGTGTGGGGCAGGGAGTGCAGGCCCTAGCGTGCGCGGGCTGGGGGCTGGACCCGCGGGCCGCGGCGGGGAGATGGAGTGCATCAAGTGTAGAGGGCTGTACCTTTTTGGCGCTGTGGAAGCCGTTTCTATACTGTATTTACAGGAGCGGGGGCTTCTGCGGAGGAGGCTGTACCAAGTGGCTGGGTTATATCACCACAGCGCTGGGGGAGCCCTGCTTAGAACGTGGGGGAGCCCAAATCAGAGGGCTGTGATGTTTGTGATCTTTGAGGGACTGGGAGAGGGTGGGACAGGGGCGCGTGGGTTTTAGGGGCGCGTTTTGGGAGGACTGTTATGCCTGGTGGTGAGGAGGGGTTTCTGCTTCCTGTATTTGACGTGTGTGGGGTTGGGGGTTTACACTGAACTCAGCCTTCATTGAACTTCTTAATGACTTTGGAGAGAATGGCGTGGTTACTGGGGTGCTTTGGACCACGGAGTGCTCTGATTCCATTACCCTCTCAGATTATTCACCAGGCAATAACACTTCTTTCCTTCCATGATGGAGGGAGGAAGGATGTGTTAGAAATCACTGAAGTTGTCTGAGCTTTAGACTCCACATTTGGAAGAGGAAGAGGGATTGGGCTTGGATTTGAGGAGCCGTGCCCCTGGACCAGCTTGTTAAGACTTGGGAGGAAGCAGTGTTTGGGGGAACACCTCTTCCCCCCGGGGCAAGTTTTCTAGGGGCATCTTGATCTTAAGATTGTGAGGACCTTTTCCGCTCCTTTGGAGACCTGTTGGGGCTCAGCAAGACGCGTGGGGTGGAGTAACTAGGGCCTCCAGTGGGCTGCTTTTCAACCTCATCTGCTCCTCCCTTCCCAGAGAAGCAGCAGGAGTTCAGTCGGGGGCTGACCTTGGTTGGCAGTGGGTGTAAAGAGTCCAGGAACCAACACAGACCACTGAATGCTCCTCCGTCGCTGGCCACGAAGCTGTTTGTGTCTCTGGGTTACCAGCTCAGTCACACATCGTGTTTACACTCCCCACCAAGGCAATAACAGTTGGCCTTGCAGTGAGGCCGAGAGCTGTTTTGCCAGCTGTTCCTCTTTCCATAGGCCAAGGGGACTTGGAGGGGGGTGCCCCTGTCCCAGCCTGCCCCAGCCTGGCCCAGGGAGGAAGACTGCTGTGAAGGGTTTGGGACAGTCAGGTCTCCCATGGATCTGGTGTCTTGCTGTGGTCTGTGGGCTGTGGGCTGGTGCTGGGAGCAGCCAGCTCCAGAGGTCTGTGGCCAGTGTCCCTGCTCCCTAGGCCAGATCATGACCTTGGCTTGCCCTGTAGCCTTTGCTCTGGGTCTGTAGTTCCCGGAGGACTGGCTGCAGTCCCTGATTGACCCAGCAGACCTGGGCTGATGATGTGGTCAAAGGGGGCAGACGGTTGCCCCTGGTCAGCAGCGGTGACTTCCAAGCTGACTGGCTTCCATGCCTCGTGGTTCCTGGAGAGAGAGGTCCCACAGTTTGTAAGGCAGTGGGGGGCTCTGTAGAATTTTTCTCCATTAGGGGTTTGTTCCTTTGGTCCTCTCCTTCTGCCAGCTTTTAGAGGGTTTACCTGATGGTGCTAACAGCAGCAGTGAAAACAGTAATCATGAAATTGGCTGATAGTAACTGTGTGCATTCGGTGGACCACACACTGTTTGGAATGCTTCATATAGATAAACTTGCTGAATACTTGAATTCTAGAGCTGTAAGTGCTGTTGTTATGCTCCCCCTTTTAGATGAGAAAACAGCGGCTCAGAGAGGCAAAGCATTTCCAGAGCTAGTGGATGCCCAGTGTTTATAGCATTCGCCCTATGCCAGGCCTGTGACAGGCCTTTTGCACATGTGACCTCACTGAAGTCCCAAAACACACCTGTGGTTAGGCCTGTTTTATGGAGACCTATGAGCTACTGTGATACCATTTTACAGATGAGGAATCATTTCACTCGCTGTGAAGTGCGAAGATGTCCCCGAGGTCTCATAGCTGAAGTGGTAGAGGTGTGATTGGCCTCAGCTCCTCTTGTCAAGGAGAAATTGGAGCAGTGGCTTTTGTCTGTGAGCATATACTCTGCCCAGCCCTGTGTGTTCGGCTTTATATGGTGTTTGTGTCCTTTTTTTGCAGAGTCCAAAATTGGAAGTTTAGAGGAAAAATTGCCTTCCCCTAGGTCTTATCAGACCCTGTGGGGGCCGGGGTGGGATTTGAACCCAGGTCAGTGGGCCCCTAGTGCCATGCATTCCTTGCTCACCAGGTCCCAGGCTGGGTGAAAGGAAGGAAGGGCATAGGACAGAGGTGACTGTATCCCATGTCTTTCCTTTCACTCCTGAGCCTCAGGCTGCATTGAGCACCTCTGCCTACAGCCAGTCCAGCATTTCTTGGTGCCTCCTCAGGGCTGAGCCAGGGCATCCTTTAACCCTGGGCAGGTGTGTGTGCTGGGAGCAGGAGAAGACAGCAAGAGAGCCATGCAGCTGGCGACACAGATTTTGGGGAGCTGCATTAGCCTGTGGCCAGATGGTGAAGTGGGTTCTAGCTGTGTGGCCTTGGACCACAGTGTTCACTCCCATACAGTGGTCTCAGAAGGACATCCACCTCGGGCTCCTTTGAGGATTAAAGGAATTAATCCATGAGAAGGTCCTAGAATGGTGCCTGGCACTGTGTAAGTCTTGGTTGGCAGTCATGATTATGTTGTTATGGAACGAAGGCATCCAGCCTCCCCCACCTCCTACCTTTGGTCCCCCTGAGCGTTCTGGGATCCAATTCCCCAGCCTGGCCCAGCTGGGCTCCATGACTTTGATGTTCTAGTTTCCAGCCTCTGTGAAGAGCTGCATGGAAGCGAGTCAGAGCACAGGGTTCAAATGCAGCCCTGCTACTCCATGGTTGTGTGACCTTGAGCAGGCTCTCCAACCCATCTGAGCTCATTCCATCATCAGTGTCATAGGGTGATGATAATTCCCACCTGATAGGATTGTTGTGAAGGTTGAGTGGACTAGTTTGTGGGAAGCATTCATAACTGTGCTTTCATAACTGTGCTGGCATACGGTAAGCCTACCAGAAACGTCTCCTCGCTAAGAAGAGTGCCCGACACATGGTGAGCCATCGGTATATCTTTGCAACTGTAATTCTTTTTTTTTTTTTTGAGATGGAGTTTCACTCATGTTACCCAGGCTGGAGTGCAATGGCGCGATCTCGGCTCACCGCAACCTCTGCCTCCTGGGTTCAGGCAATTCTCCTGCCTCAGCCTCCCGAGTAGCTGGGATTACAGGCACGCGCCACCATGCCCAGCTAATGTTTTGTATTTTAAGTAGAGACGGGGTTTCACCATGTTGACCAGGATGGTCTCGATCTCTTGACCTCGTGATCCACCCGCCTCGGCCTCCCAAAGTGCTGGGATTACAGGCTTGAGCCACCGCGCCCGGCCTAATTCTTAATATTTCTGCCAGAACTTTGAAGGCCCCTGCGAGTCCACAGAACCATGTCGAGAGCACTAGGAGGAGATCAGGGCCCAAATTAGCATCTCAGTTTTCCAGATGCAGAAACAGAGGTGAGGGGAGACATACAATCAAGTCGAGGGCAGCTCCCAGGCCCACTTCTCTTGCACACAGTGGCTTTGCAGCCTGAGCCCTTCCCAGGTAGACACATTCAAGTCTTTTCAGTGGTCAGGCTCTGTGCTTTTTTTTTTCTTTTGAAACAGGGTGTCACTCTGTCACCCAGGCAGGAGTGCAGTGGTGTGATCACAGCTCACTGCAGGCTTGACCTCCTAGGCCCAAGTGATCCTTCCACCTCATCCTCTTGAGTAGCTGGGACTGCAGGTGCACACCACCACACCCATTTAATTTTTAAATTTTTTGTGGAGACAGGGTTCTCACTATGTTGCTCAGGCTGTTCTTGAACTCCTGGGCTCAAGCGATCCTCCTGCCTCAGTCTCTGAGTAGCTGGGACTGCAGGTGCATGCTACTGCTGCTGGTTCCCAGTCCACCACAGCTCCGGGAGTGGTGGGAAGGCTGTGCCTGGGCAGGGGGCAGCAGAAATGCCTGTGGGAGTCAGCAGTAGCTGTGCATTGCAGGCGTGTGGGCCTGGGGGAGAGGTGAGGATTGATCCTGAGGGCATTGCGGAGCTGAGGAAAAGCTTTCAGTCATCCGCCACCATTTACTGAGCACTTATGCGCCAGCATTGCATCAGTACTGGGAATGCAGCGTTCTACTTATCAAAGTCCCTATCCTCATGGGGCTGAGGGAGACCCACCTGAAACGCGAATAAGCAAGGAGCTGGTTAGAGGGGAGGTGCTAGGCAGCGAATTTAAATCAGGTGACGACTGGGTGCTTCTTTAGATGCAGGCGGCAGCGGGGAGGGCCTGTGAGCTGATCCCAGTTTGGCAAGGTGAGGCAGTCATGTGGGGTGGGAGGAGAAGGAACAGCCCTCCAGGTGGAGGGAACCACAGTGCAAAGGTCTGAAGGGAGGACAACTTGGTGAGGTGCAGGGACAAGCCTCACGGAGGCCTGTGTGGCTTGGTAGAGTAGGGAAGCACGGAGGAGACCAGACCAGGGCTGTGGGCCTGGCAGGGCCTGTCACTGGGAGCCTTGTGGACTATGAGAAGGAGCTTGGAGTTGCAGCAGCAGCAGCCTGGTCACATTTAGGGTGTTAGCAGGTGACACAGGAGAGAGTCACAGGCTCCTGCCTGGGGATGTGGGGATATTTGACTGAGCCGAGCAGGGTGTTTCACAGGCCTCCCACTTCCCCTCGAGTAGCATCACTGCCTTGGAGCCAGCAAAGGCCCTACGGTTGCCTCCCTCTCTGTGGTTTTCACACCGTGTTCCCCAGAGCCCGTGGCTGTTACTTTTAGGGAGAGAGGCGAGGAGGCTCAGCGGGCCAATTTTTCTGCCCATCCCTCCCCACCCCAACCAACTGGACTAATACTGAATAGCAACGCAGAGCAGCAGTCCACATCTGATACAGACATCACCCGCCGACCCTGCTTCCACGCCGCTGTGGGCTTGCAGGCCTGCACCATTCCCGGTGCTCTTCTGGAATTGGAAAGACCAGGCCTTGTGACTGGTACCCAGCAGACATGTCTCTGGTGGGCATCAGGTGTGGTGATGTTACAAAGGCAAAATAAATGAGGGCCAGATGAGAGTGTGGCCATGTTTCTCCACTGTAGCTGGGTGATCAGGGAGGACCTCCCTGAGAAGGTGACTTGTGGGCAGGGACTGATGGAGTGCTTGTGAGGGAGCCATGGGAGGATCTGGGTGAAGACCCGTTAGACCCAGGAGGAATCTTCTCTGATTCCCACTTTACAGTGGTGAGGCCTGGAGAGCCTCTGTAGCTTGTGCTGGGTCCCCCAACCAGGAAGTGTTGGGGACAGGCTATGAATCTGGGCCTCCAGAGATTCCCCCAGCACAACTTGGTAGCCCCTGGTGCGTGTGACTTCTGATCCCACCCATGGGCTCATCCCTAAGGCTTATCTTCATTTAAAAATTTTTTTCTGGAGCTGGGAGACTCACTATGTGGCTCAGGCTGGTCTTACTTATCTTGCAGGAGCAGGTGCCCTGGCATTTGTTTTTTGAGGTGTGTTCCAGGGTATCTTCCTTGAAGGAGCAGAACCCCTCAGAACAAACCTCTAGGGTCTCCAGAAGCCCCCTGGGATGGGTTGGGATGGAAAGGAATGTCTTTCAGACTTGAGCTCCAAGCCCCTGGAGGGCCCAGGGACACCCCTTCCTGGGCCTCTCTCCAGCTTCCCAGAGCTCTCAGCAGAAGGCCCTCAACCACAGGCCTCCGGGCCGCACGGTGGGGTGGTTCCATGGCAGGCTCTTCTGGACAGCCAGCCAAGCAGTGAGAGGCCCAGCTAGGGGAGACAGCCTGGGAGCGGGACCAGGAGGGAGGGAGCGCACGTGGGAGGGGTGCTGGGTGGGAGTGCAGGCTGGCCCCCTTGGGGCAGGACCCACTGCCAACTCGGCACCTACAGCAGGGCCCGGGTGCACTGAGTGTGCCCAGCAAGGGACAGCAAGCCGGGCCAGCCAAGAGGACAATGGATGTCAGAGGTCCCTGCAGGAGTTTCTCCAGCCCAGCTGTCCTGCTGGAGAAGCTCGTCCGCAGATGTTGTTTCTAAGGGTGAGGCCAGAAACCTAAGCCTGCCTTGGTTTGCCCCCTTGTGGGCCCTTTCCGAACGGGCTGGGGCAGCTGCCGCTCCCTGGTTCTCCTCTCCAGCCTGGCTTCGAGTTCTTCATGATCTGGTGGGTCATTGGTGTACCCTTACTCAGCTGGGGCTGCTGAGTGACCGGGTCCCAGGGACAGCTGACGTGGGTGAGAACCCTGCTCCTGGCACCCCTCTCGGTGGCCGTGGAACCCTGGGGCTTGATTTCATATCCCTAACATGCAGTTTGCTCAGCTGTAAATGGGAACCTTCCTGCTGAGTGGGGCAGTGGGGGGATGCCGGGAGCTGTTGTGTTGGAAAGTGCAGGCCTCCTGAGGAGGTACGGGTTGAATTTGGGCCAGTGCTGCTCGTGGGGATTGCCAGACAGGACTGAGGCACCTGAGAGCACAGAAGAGGCTCTGTCGGGCAGCTGGCAGGGGCTTGTCCTTGGTCCTTGGGAGAGAGTGGTGGGGCCTGATAGCTGATGGGAGGGTTCTGAACAGGAATATGAATTATTCCCACTGCTGCACTCCTGCCCAACCAGACACCGCTCATTAGCTCAGCATACCTGCACGACAGCCTGGAGGTGGGCAGTGTTAGCACCCCATCTCGTAGATAGGAAACTGAGGCACGGGAAGCCGCATAGAATGTCCAGTCATTCTCATGAGTAGTTTGCCTCTCTGTGCTGGGAACTGCTGCACAGTTTAAGGTGTCTGCTCTCATTCGTCCTCACCACAGCCTGGAAGCTCACTGTCACAATTGTCACCATTTTACCGAGCAGGAAACAGGTATGGGAGTTATTGGGTTTGTCTGAGGTCAGTAATAGGTAGGACAGTTGAACCCTGCTCTGTCAGTGAAGCTGCCTTTTGAAGACTGCCTCGTCTCCTTGCCCTGCCCGCTGGGATTGGGGTTGTCGCTGTGGCCATCATGGTTTCTTTCCCACTTTCTCTTCTAGACAGCTGGCACAAAATAGGCCTCAGTCATCCAGAAATGACTCCATTCCGTGCCTGCTCCGGAGGTGGGGTGTGGCTGCTTCTCTCCACCTCCAATACCATGACCTTGGCCCTTCCTTTTCCCAGAGCCCAGGGGGAAGGGATGAGGGTGGGAGGAATCCCCTCCAAACAGCCTCAGGAGCCAGCCCTTGGCTGTTCTTGGTCGTTTGTGTATTCCATCTGTCAACAAATACTGATTGAGTCACTACTGTCTGCCACGTGTAGTTCTGGATGGGGTCGCAGGAGGCAGAGAAGTTGCGTTTGCCTGTGAGTGCTTGTTGTGGCTGAAGGAGGGGATGGAGATCAACTGGACCTGGTGGGAGAGGGACTTGGGAAGCCTGCTAAGGAGCCCCTATGACGTGAGAGCCCGAGGAGGTGGGCTAGGAGGGTAGTATCTGGATGTGCTGGTGGAACAGCAGACCCGTGTGACTGGAGCCGGGGGAGTAGATGAGGGGGAGAGAGCAGGGTGACAGGGCTCAGGGCCTGGGCTGGGTGGGGAGCCAGAGCTTTATCCCCAAAGAGGAGGGACACAGGCGGGTGGGGAGGGACCTGTGTGGGAGAGAGCTGGTTGGATTCAGGTGCTGCCAGGGATGAAGAAAGTAGACCATATTCTGCTTTGGCGACAGGATCCCCTACAGCCCAGCTTCTCAAACTGGTGTTCAAAGGCCTTGGGAGGTGGGCAGAGGTGTCTGCAGGGCGTCAACTTTTTTCAGCTGTGTGTTTTCATTTAGACGATATTTTCAGAAAGTTAATAGGGGAATTTTGGACATAGGATGATTCCTGTAGAACCAACTGGTGACAGTAGTAACATGAGCTTGCTACCCTATGGCTACGACAGGCTCAGGACGGTCCCTGATGTTCTTTAGGTAATTGGCACCTGTTTTTCAAGCACTGGCCCTGTCCCCAGCTGTATGTGAGACCATCTCATTGGGTCCCCAGGACAATGGATGGTTATCAGAAAACTTATCTTTTTTTATTTTTCCTTTTTTTTGAGACAGGGTCTGGCTCTGTCACCCAGGCTGGAGTGCAGTGGCGTCATCATGGCTTATTGCCACCTCGACCTCGTGGGCTCAAGTGATCTTCCCACCTCAGCCTCCTGAGTAGCTGGGACTGCAGGCATGGATCATCACACCTGGCTAATCTTTAAAAACAAATTTTAGTAGAGACAGGGTCTCCCTATTTTGCTCAGGCTGATCTTGAACTTTTGGGCTCACGTGATCCATCTGCCTCAGCCTCCCAAAGTGCTGGGATTACAGGCATCTGACCTACAAAAATTCTTTTTTTTTTTTTTTTTTTTTGTCTGTCTGTGTCTTTGGATTAGGGGATTGAGTTGATTTAAATTTAGAATTAATAATAATATATGTGAGTTTAATACTGCCATTTAATGTTAGCTGGCTGTTTTGCCTATTGATGTAAATTCTTGATTATGTTGATGCTCTTTACTTTTTGGTATTTTTTAGAAAGGCTGATGCTGGTTGTTTCTTTCTATGTGTAGTGGTTCTTTTCAGAAGCTCTTGTAAAGCAGGCCTGGTGGTGATGAAATCTCTGAGTGCTTGCTTGTTCACAAAAGATTTTATTTTTCCTTTGCTTATGAAGCTTAGTTTGGCTGGATGTAAAATTCTGGGTTGAAAGTTCTTTTCTTTAAGGATGTTGAATATGGGCCCCCACTCTCTTCTAGCTTGTAGGGTTTCTGCTGAGAGATCTGCTGTGAGTCTGTTACCCCTTTATGGGTAACCTGACCTTTCTCTCTGGCTGCCCTCAGTATTTTCTCCTTCATTTCAACCCTGGTGAATCTGGCGATTACGTGCCTTGAGGTTGGTCTTCTTGAGGAATATCTTTGTGGTGTTCTCTGTATTACCTGGAGTTGAATATTGTCCTGCCTTGCTAGGTTGGGAAAGTTTTCCTGAATAATATCCTGAAGCGTATTTTCCAGCTTGGATTGATTCTCTTCGTCACATTCAGGTACACCTATCAAGCGTAGATTAGGTCTTCTCACATCACATAGTCCCATATTTCTTGGAGACTTTGCTCGTTCCTTTTTATCCTTTTTTCTCTAACCTTGTCTTCTCGTTTTATTTCATTAAGTTGGTCTTCAACTTCTGATATCTTTTCTTCTGCTTGATTGATTCGGCTGTTAAAACTTGCGCATAGTTCTCGAAGTTCTCGTGTTTTTCAGCTCCATTAATTCACTTATATTCCTCTCTAAATTGTGTATTCTTGTTAACATTTCGTCAAAACTTTTTTCAAAGTTCTTAGTTTCTTTGCATTGGGTTAGAACAAGTTCTTTTAATTCACAGAAGTTTCTTATCATCCACCTTTTGAAGTCTGCTTCTGTTAATGGTACACGCTTGTTCTCCGTCAGGCCTTTTTCCGTTGCTGATGAGGAACTGTGATCCCCTGTAGAGGGAGAGGCGTTCTGATTTTGGGTATTCTCGGCTTTTTTAAGGCTGTTTTCTTCCCTTCGTTATAAATTAATCCATCTGTGGTCTTTATAATTACTGTCTTTATAATTGGGTTTCTGAGTGGACGTCCAACTTGTTGATTCCCAGCGCTAAAATCTGAGCAACCCACTGTGCCAGCCAAAACAGCAGCGTTATGATTGATAGTACTTTTCTGACTCTGCACCAAGAACCACCACACCAAGGCAGCGGCAAAACCGCCTCGCTGGCCACAAGAGTCGCCCTGGCGACCCGTGGGGCTCCTCTGCTGGGAATCTCCTGGTGCGTGAGCAAACAAAAATTCGTCTGAAAGTGTGGCGTTCTCTCACTCTCTGCGCTTTCAATGGGAGCTACAATCCTGAGCTGCTAGTGATCAGCCATCTTGGATCTCTCTCCAAAAATTCTTTTGAGATAACATAAACATGTGCTTGGGCAGATTGGTGTTAAGATTCCATTCTACAGGCCGGCGTGTGGCTCATGCCTGTAATCCCAGCACTTTGGGAGGCTGAGGCGGGCGGATGACGAGGTCAAGAGATGGAGACCATCCTGGCCAACGTGGGGATACCCTGTTTCTACTAAAATACAAAAATTAGCTGGATGTGGTGGCACAAGCCTGTAGTCCCCGCTACTCAGGAGGCTGAGGCAGGAGAATCACTTGAACCCGGGAGGCAGAGGTTGCAGTGAGCAGAGATTGAGCCATTTCACTCCAGCCTGGCAACAGAGCAAGACTCTGTCTCAAAAAAAATAAAAGATTCTGTTCTACAGATGTGGAAGATGAGGTTCAGAGAAGTGACCTGTGTAGCCCGGAAGTGGTAGAGTCAGGATTTGAGTTGACTAGAGGTGTGAGTTTGGGCCTGAGTCCTGCTCCAATTTCCCGGGTAAGCTGCGCTGGGATGCGGGAGAGATGGGCTGTAGCATGCGAGCTTCCAGCCAGGCTGGGATGATCTGGCTTCTCTTGGGCCTGTGAAAGTCACACCCTACCTCCTGCCTTTAAGCTCCCAGTGCTAGTTAGCAGGGATTCCATAGAGTTGCACTCCAAAATGGTAGGTACTAGCCATGTATAGCTTTTAAAATTTTTTTTTTTTTTTTTTTGAGACGGAGTTTCACTCTTGTTACCCAGGCTAGAGTGCAATGGCGCGACCTCGGCTCACCGCAACCTCCACCTCCTGGGTTCAGGCAATTCTCCTGCCTCAACCTCCTCAGTAGCTGGGATTACAGGCACGCGCCACCATGCCCAGCTAATGTTTTTGTATTTTTAGTAGAGACGGGGTTTCACCATGTTGACCAGGATGGTCTCGATCTCTTGACCTCGTGATCCACCCGCCTCGGCCTCCCAAAGTGCTGGGGTTACAGGCTTGAGCCACCGCGCCCGGCCTTAAAATTTTAACTAATTGCAATTAAATAAAAGTAAAAAGTCAGTTCTTTAGTTATCGTTCGAACTAGCCATCATTCAAATGTTCAGTTAACCACATTTCTGTTGTCACAGAAAGGTCTGTGGGTCAGTTCTGCTCTGGTCGCGGCCCCTCTCCTGCACCCACTGGCTGTGAC